CAGTACTTCCACAGTGGAAGGCTCTCCCTGTTCCGCTTGATGGCTCCGAGCACAGAGGCCAGATGGCCTGTGCTCAGATGCCGCCGCCCACCACTGTGGCTTTAGGCAGGTTACTTTACTCCTCTGTCTTTCATCTCCTATTTTATAGGAAGTAGTGACAACTCCCGGGGGATTAAATGACCTAGAAAGTGTCAGGTTGGCTATGATGATAGTAACTGCTCACTGCAGCCCACTTGAAGGCAGGGTTTGTTTATTTGTTTAAGGTTTATTTATTTACTTGAAAGATAGAGGGAAGAGATTTTCCATCTGCTGGATATCTCTCCTAGAGGCCGTAACAGCTGGGCCAGGCCAAAGCCAGGAGCTTCATCCAGCTCTCCCACACAGGTGGCAGCGGTCCAAGTACTTGTGCCATCTTCCACTGCCTCCCCAATGCATCAGCAGGGAGCCAGATTGGAAGTGGGTCAGCTGTGACTGAAACCAGCACTCATGGGATGCCAGCATTGCAGGCAGAGTTTTTTTTTTTTTTTTTTAAGATTTATTTATTTACTTGAACATCAGGGTTACACAGAGAGAGGAGAGAGAGAGAGAGAGGTCTTCCATCCACTGGTTCACTCCCTAAATGGCCACAATGGCTGGAGCTGAGCCAATCTGAAGCCAGGAGCCAGGAGCTTCTTCTAGGTCTCTCTTGTGGGTGTAGGAGCTCAATGACTTGGGCCATCTTCTACTGCTTTCCCAGACTACAGCAGTGGGCTGGATCAGAAGAGGAGCAGCCGGGACACAAACCGGCACCCATATGGGATGCTGGCACCACATGTGGAGGTTTAACCCCCTGTGGCACAGCGCTGGTCTCATGATCCATCTTCTCAAATCAGTCAGATGTGGAGTCTATGTCAGTGGTTTTATTTAATTTAACTGGCATAACAGTTGAATCAGATTCATAGGAGAATTGTACTAGATACTATGAATTAGCTTTTAAAGATACAATCAGGGCTAATCCTCCGCCTGCGGCGCCGGCACACCAGGT